CTGACCGTTGGCAAGAATGGTTCTGGATATGGCTCAGATGCATTATTTCACATAGGCTTTACAAAACCAAAAGCTATACTCTAATAACAATAGATACATCTTCAGTATCTTGGCTACTGTGAGTCGGTAGCTTAGGCAGATGAGGTTCCTTGGGTAAATCTGGTATCTTTTTAGACTAACTCAAATGGTTGGAAAAATTCTTCCTTGCAAACTTTTGGGTACACATACCCTTAGTCTGCCTATGTCCTTAAACCAACAAGGCTACAGCCTATACCCAGCCACTAGCCTAGATACTTCTGCAGTAAGATAAGTTGACAGAATTAGGAGCATGTGGAAAAAGCTTAAACTGTTTCTTTTCTAAAGAGGATGTTCCCCAAGCTATTGTTGTGGGGTTCTTTTTCCATATTGGACTAAACCCAAACTTTGGAAATTTGAAATGGTCTCTAAAATTGCATGCTGGCCACAAGGGTCTTTGTAGTTCTCTAAATTTACAAAACAAATTCTTCCTCCAGAAACCCCTGCAAGAGCCTCAATGCAGAAACCAGGTGATTATGCTAAATCCTGGTTAAATGTATTGAGATACAAGGCCAGAATTATCTACCCCATCTAGTCAAGTAGCTACCTCCTTTTATGCCTCCTTGGACAGATCTTGCACAAACTGGAACCAGTCTGTAGCCAATTCAATGGCATTTCATCCCTTCACTGGAAGTGTTAGTAAAAATGATTGGGTTCATCACTAATTCAGATTAATAATCCAATTGGTGCACACTTCATTGCTAATTGTGCGAGTATGATATTTACACAAGTAGTGTCATCCTATATACACTGGCCTCTACCTCTTTCATGGTGGGTAGTCTCATGGCAAACAACTTGACTGAAGCACCAGAGTTACACAAGGCATGATCATCCTATGTACACTGTAAAGACTGTATGAGGGTTATGAGTAGCCCAAAGAAGCAGCCAGAAGCAGTATCCTCTGCTAAGTGACTTGCCATATGTAAAGATCCACAAGGGCTTCTCAAGCTGTGAGGCTTCAGCTCTCTTCTCCTATGACTTTTCCTAGGAAAACTCTTCCCTAATCACCAGGTTGAGACGTTATGGTCTAGATTTGCCCCAAATATGTTCCATGTTTCCATGCAAACCTTTTTTATTTTGGGTTTTTGTAGATGGCAAAGCTGCGGAGCCTTTCCATGAATGCTGAGAATGAACCTTTTTGCCCCCTGGTGGATAACTGGCGCCCTCCACAGCCTCTGAAGGGCAGGGTCTTGAGAGCCTCCTTCAAATAGAAACATCCAATTTCAGCAGAGGTTTCAGTGAGGAAATCCCCAGATGCCAAAGCCTAGCTAGTATTGTCCTCTGCTCCCCCACAGGCACTAGATGATAATAGTTTCCCCACACACAAGCACAGTCTGTATATAGAATGACAGCTTATTCAGGGGAGGAGCACTGTTCCTTTAGGAAAAAGCAGCAACAGTGGATCAATGGCTTGCAAACAGTAAAGCACCCTTCAGGGCATTTTTTTTGCAGTCATCCTTTTCCTGGTGCTCCTTACCTGCTTGTAATGTGATGAACATATGCCACTTCCCTTTTCCTCTGCACCTCATTGTTAGACTGGCAAAGTACTAAAGCCTGGGTGTGCATTCAGGTGGGTTCATCACCCCCCAGCTCTGGGGGTGAAGCAAGGATAGAGTGTTGCCTGGCTTTGAAAAGATGCCTTGCTGCCATTTCTGCATCAGATCTCTATCTCTCTTGCCTTGCTGCCGCTTTCTTGCTGCTTCTGCCAAATCTATTACTTTTTTTTGTCTTGCTACTGCTGCTATTCCACTTCCTACCACCCCAGTCTAGTGACTTAAAATTCTACTGCTCTGCACAGGATGCAGCTTGCTGCTGCTGCTTCTGTATTGCCTCTCAGCACCACAGTCTCCAAGTACAATGCAGAGTCCAAATTTTTGAGACTCCGCTAAAGTGGCAGCTTGTAGTAATTTCAAATAATAGGTATTTAACTGCTTGGGAGGAACTTTCCTATTGTTGTCACTGTATCATTTATCAACCTCACTGCTGTTTCCAAGCTCAGGTCTGAAGTTCTGCCCATTTATTGGCAATTTTGATTTTAATAGTGCTTGGATGATGAGAGACTATCTCAATGGGATCTGCTGAGCTTTATTGTGACTCTCTGCCCATTTAGGCCTTTTGTTAGGGATACAGTGTTCAAATGGCATGTAGATAAACAGCTGTTTACTAAATAGGAGCACTTGCCTCTTGACCCTCTTTCCAGCAATTTGACATGGGTATGGTTTCACAGGGCAAGCGGAGTACAAATCTGCTATGTCTAGTCATGCAGTAAGGATAACTTTTCAGTGCCTTGACAGCCAAGACTTCAAATTTTTAATTTGTAACCCAGATGTCCAAAAATGATCACCTTGGAGGTGTTGGTATTGCCTATGCAAATGAGATCTGCTTATCCTGTCTCTCCCTCCACTTTATTGACAGATGGCAAAGAGGGTGCCTTCTGTCAAGTTGCTATGGTAGTATGCCTGATTATGTCTAAAAATGAGGGAAGGGGGAAGGTCTGGTTACAAATAGGCAGAAATAAGTTTCCTCCATTATCCTTATATTCTTCACCAGAGCATCAAGGCTTCCAACTGACAGAACTGAGTTGCTGAATTTATTATAGACTAAATCCTGCTCTTGGGTGTACCACTAGAATCCCAGGAATCCTGGATATAACTGAAGGCAGATTTTGTGCTGTTCCATTTATCAGTTTCCTTTCCACATATCTAATCAAACTGATTTAATTAAGCAAGGGATTTTAATGGCCCAAATATATTTAAGGTTGAATAACTTTTATGCTGAAAAGTGGAAACTAAGGTGTTTAAATAAAGAGAGTGGAACTGTGGAGAGAGTGTTTGGTTTTTTTTTTTTGTTTTGTTTTTTTTTTCCAGTTATTTTAACAACTGACTTGTTCTGGCAACTGGATGAACTCTTCAGTTGCATCATTTCAATTTAGTATAGCAAACTTTGGGAAATCCTAAGTTTTCTTTAGTTTCCCAAATCCCTGCGTCTCCTTAATGAATGAAAATGGCTTTAACATGAGAGCTGTTTAAGCTCATTTTTCTACTGTAACACGTCTTACATGGCAAAGCCAAATTCTGTCCTCATGTGTAGATGCAGTTGATCCTAGTGTCATTGAGCTTTGTATGCAAGTGGTGAGATCAAAACTTGACTCTTATTCTATAAATGCAATTGACTGTGTTCTTATCTCTTGTTTGTTCAAACAGTAAAATAGGATTATCTGTTTGCACTTAAAGTAAGAGCATATCCATCTTAAGAGAACCAATAAATACTCATAGAAATAGTGGTCTTGTCTTCATTTCTAATGTTGGAAAACTGTGAAAAGTGATAGGACAAGAATTCTGCATGCAGATTTTGTCAAGGCCTTGTTCACGGTAATTTTGGGCCACTCCTGGAGTTCTTAACCCCTGGATTTCTGCATATTAAAACCTTTAAAATGGTTCCAAGTACTTGATTATGTGGTTCAAAGTTAATGCCACTCCAGGGAAGGATCATTTCTGATCTATGCTACCCAGCTCCTGTTTCATTAAGGTGTGGCTACTCCCCATGGATGTGCCACCCAAGCTGAAGTTTTCCAGTATCCCAGGATCTCTCTCTCTCTCTGTTACCTGTAGACCACGGATAGAAGCCTGTGCTGACTCACTAGACCTCTGTTGGCAACTCACAGCTACAGCTCCTAGTCCTGCCTCTGCTCACCAGGCACTTAGTGGCAAGGTATAGCTGTGCAGGTGGAGTGCTAAGGGTGTGACAGCTCCAAGCTAGCACTATTGCTGATCAACATGCTTTCTCCCCTTCCATACCACAGTATGGCAGAAGTGACTATGTACAACTCTCTAATGAAGTAGTCCTAAAAAAAAATTTGGTCCCAAACACATTGATTGTTTTTTCTGGCACAAATGAAGCCTGTCTGCTGCTTCTGTTAATTCTCAATGTATCTAACACCCATCCTGGCCTGCCACTTGCCCTTCTGAGAGGGAAGTGCATTCTGACCCCTCCAAGTAAATGGTACAGAAAGAGAATTAAAACTATTTTGTTGTTAATGGAAGAGTAAAGCAGCTACTTCTTTCCCCAACCCTCTAATGAATCTCCAGTCTCATGATCCTTGGTTATGTCGTACTAGTTCCAAGGGGTGCCGGTGGACAGGTAGAAGCATGCTGCACTGATTCTGTGATTCCTCTTTCCTGATTAGTTTTTGGGCTATTTCTACTTCACTCTTCAATCTTGCAGTTTGGGAGGGAAATCTCAAACTTAATAATTTTACAAACCTCATCCAATTTTGCCCGAAACAGTCAAATACTGCTTTACAGTTTAAGTTTGTATAGTGAATAGATTGTTAATACAACAGGAAAGAGTTGCTAATTCTCTTGAATCACTTAGTTTTGAACCCACAGGGACATATCCTGTTTACCCTTATACACTTAAATAACACACATGTGGTTGTATAAATACAAGTTTTGGTACTTGTGCAGATTTTGCATTATATTTCTACTTTTGGCAGAAGAGGGTTCCATGGGGATATGGATAATGGCCCAAAGGCGAAAGAATGGAGGGTCCTCTAACCTTTTAGCTCAAGGGACTAACAGCTAGGGTACTAGCCAATGGAGTGGGAAATCCATGTTCAAATCTCGGAAGGGACTTGAACCTTTGTCTTCCACTTCTTAGCAAAGTGTTCTAATCAGGGGCAGGTGTTGTCCAGAGCACATTCTAGCTTTCTTGTCAAATTAAAATAAGATTCTTGTTTACAAAAGTAGTTTTTTTTTTTCTTTCATTTTCATCTGATTTAATCATGTTAATGGATGGTGATCAGTAATCAAATTATGTCACTATAAATAATGTCATGAGACTCTAATGCCTGTTTGATTATTAGTTGTTCCTACTTTCTAGTAGCTTAGCATAAAACTGGATACTTCTTTCCACCTTTTTCTGGATTTAACACAGATCTTGGGCATCCTTGAACTACTTGATGCTCCTAATCATGTGTAGTGGCTCACATAAGTCTTCCTGAAATATCAGGTCTTCCTATACCAGTAATTGTCTGTATACATGTTCCTACTGTGCGTGCGTGTGTGTCATGTCCTGAGCCCTTAACCAAAGGTTTCATGCCTTAGCAGTGTCCAATTAAGTGTGCTCCAGGATCACCCAGCATACACCCAGGTGATAAATGGAAGTGTATATTTACCATTCCTCAGTTTCTCTCAGCCACTTCCCTTATTCAAACCAGGTTCTTGTAAACCTACACTGCAACTGGAGTACTTCGAGAACTGGAGTAGTTTAAGTGGAAGTGCTCATATGCACATTCACACTCTCCTTAGGTCTGTTTCATTCAATGCTCATACTAAAGCACCCTAAGATATGTTGCCTTAGCAGTCAGCATCATACTTAAATTCCTGGCAGCCCTGGGCAAACTTTAAATACAGGGCCCTCTGTTGCCAGAGATAATGATAATAATTTGATAATTACCACTTTTGGGCCCCCTTTCAGTCCAGGCCCCAGGTGGTCATCTGGTTGACCCCTGACTGTGTCTGGCCCTATTAGCAGTATCCATAGAATGCATTACAGCTGCACCTCTCCCCTGCCACGAGGATAAAGGCTAGCAGGCACTTTCTGCTTAGAGCGCTCTGCATGGGGCTTCTGAGGGAAAGGCTGCAGAGGGAGCCCCAAACAGGGGTGGCACTAGGTGGAGCTCAGGGGGCTATGGCCATTCGAAAATTCCCCATAGCCACCCCTGCAAGCCCCATCGCTGCTTGGCTCAGCCTCCTCCTGGAGAAAAAGCTGGTGCAGCCCCTGGCCCCTAGCCTACAGTGGGCAGCCCACCCTTACCCCATGCACAAATCTGGGGAGCACATCCCCTCATGCCTCCTCCAGGGTGCACACAGCAGTGGGGAGCCACTCCCCTTCTGTACCCCCTGCCATCCCAGGACTAACTGCCCGTGCATTTACTTGGCTGAGCGGTGCCTGCATCTGCCCCAGCCCCTACCCATGCCCCATTCCCTCCCTCACCATGGGGGCCTCGATCTGCTCCCCAAAGTCCCTTCCCTCCCCCATTCCCCTATTCCTCCACAGACTTATTGGCAGGACACTGCTCTCCACACTGCCCAGCTGTATTCCTGGCCACTTGCACATGGCATTTATTGGTGATATTATTAATCTGCTACACTGGCCAAAAATAGCAGATAGCTGATAATGGTGCCTTTTCCTTTTATTGGTGCCATTCCAGTATGCAACCACTATATCAGTGCACATCTAGAGAGGACCCCCAATTTTATGTTTGCCCAGTGGTCTATACTCCACTTCAGTCCCTCTCTGTGGCAGGGAGCAGAATATGAGGAGGGGAGGGCAAGACAAACAACCCTGTAGGGTAGATTAGGGCAGGGGTTCTCAAACTGTGGGGGGAGCAACTAAAAGGGGGTTGCAAACTTCTTTTCCCTCCCACCATCTAGCACTTCGCACCACTTCTGCTGCCATGTGCCACTGGTGCTTCTGCTTTCACTGCCACACTGCGCAAGTGACTCCCTCCCCCACACTTGTCAACCTCCCACCGGGGGACACCTCTCCCCTCCCCTGCTCATCAATCAACTGCTGGGGGTACACCAGCCAAGGTTGAGAACCCGTGGTTTTAATCAATAGCTTTAAACATGGGGGGAGGGGGTTGCATAAATTTATACATTATATTATGGGGTTGCGGTTTCACAAAATTTGAGAACCCCTGGATTAGGGGATTAACAAGCAGAGAGTGGGAAACAGCCTCAGGACCACCTGGTTAAGGAGGGACACCTGGGCAGATTGATTAGCAGCTGTTCCAGGGCTGATAAAATAGTTATGGGAATTAAGAGGAAAAGCTAGAGCTGAGAGAGATGCTTAAGGGTGTCTGTGCTGGTCAGACAGAGAAAGGCCTGGGAAAATCCTAGCCTTAAAGGGACAACATGCTTCAAAAGGAAGTATCTTTTATTTAGAGGGCTAGAAGTGCCTGATTTTTATTTACTTCCTGGAGGAGTGGGGGACTAATAAGGAGTGAAGAGGAGGTCCCTCCAGGAGCTTCAAAGCAGGAAGACCATTGATAGTTAAGGAATTCAGAGCAAGGAGGCAGAAGCCCAATAGGCACCTAGGACAGAGCCCACCTAGAGAGGCAGGGCACAGCCATATCCTGCTGATAGAGATGAGAACTCCAAAGACAGGGATATTTTGGTGCTTACAGACTGTGTTTTGGACTAAAGAAATAAGAGGACTACAGAGCAAGAGACAGCTGCACTCCAGGTAACATCCTCATGAGTGGTGAGCAGCCTCCCTTCCCAAATCACCAACTCATCTGAACCAAAACTGCATGACAGGCACTGGAACAAAGGCAGGCTCTATCCAAGATGAGGTCAAGGGTGGAAAGGTAAGGCAAGGACCCTACTATCCTGTGACACTCAAATCTTTCATATCCTTCCCATTTCAGCAAGCACACTTTTACTTCTATTTGCATCCTTCAGGCAGTGAAAGAGCAGTTAACACTTAAGAGCACTTGTACACATGATGAAAATTGGCTATTTTTGTGGTTTAAGTTCATCACACTGTACATGTATGTACTGTGGCAGTACAGAGCTCAACGCAGACTAATTTGCCCTACAAAAAGGAGGATATCTTAACACTATTGCAGTCTTCAGCCCAGACAAAGCCAAAGTTAGCATCTATTAAAATGAATGGGGCTGTTTACATCTCAGAGCTAGAGTTCACAGATTCATAGAAGTAGGGTTGGAAGGGATCTTGTAGATCATCAAGTCTGACCCCCTGCCCTGGGCCGGAGAGAGAACTGGGCTAAAATGACCCCAGCCAGGTAGATAT